CAAAATAAACACCAATACTGCCGACAGACTGGGTTAATTAAGATTCCGGTGCCAATGGATCGGCGTGTATACGAAGCTGTCACGGTGTGGGTTCGATTCACGTCGTGCTTTCCTTACTTGGCGCGACGACGAAACAACCGAGAGTTCTCCAAATAGCTATCACTATGCATAATAACGGCGACGAGAGAGCAAAGAAAGGGATCTCAAACGGTTAGAAATGTCATGGTAACTACTTAGCTATACCACCTGAAGTGTTTCAGGGGGCAGAGGAGCGACGGAGCGGCGGAAACCTCCAGTCCACGTGCTTCGTCCAATTCTCCATGTTCACTTCGGCAGACTTACCATAGCAAAAAAGCAAAGAAAGGTGACGGGTTGGAAGCGAACGAGATATAAGGGAGGCCACAATGGGAAGGGGGACGCCGAAACAAGCCCCGATCGCGACTCGAGTCAGGCAGGCCGAGCCCTCCGCCTAAACCTGAGTCGCACCAGAGGAACCATCGCGTTAGCGAAACGTGGCCGCGTGCGCGAGGTCCCGGGTACCACGAGTGGCGTTCGACAGTGTCCTTGGGACGCGGACAGAGATCGAGCAGAGGACATGGCTCAACCAGGGACGCGCGTTGGAGTAGGTATATCTTTTATATCTTTCCCACCGCCCAGCTCTCGAGGCAAACGGGAAGACGGGTGGCCAGTCGGGCAAAGATTATGGGGGCATCTTCGTAGGTCACAACCCGGGCGGGGTGTTGTGAGGACGTGTAGTCGTAAAAAAGAAGGGCAGAAACAGGGGAGCGGAGAACTCCTATACCCTCGATTATGTTGCGGGCGTGTGATTTCGGCGTGTTTGAGAACGTATATCGGGGAAGAACTGTACTCGCTGGATCGTACGGAACACGTCGGATTCGAGAGGGAAGGACGGAGGGCGTGCGGATGTAGAATTGGAGACCTTGGACAGCCATCGGATGTCGCAGCGGGTTTCCTTCACTCTTCGCGTCGCCGAATCCGATCGTATTGAGTCGTAGTTATTACCAAGTGCTTCTCTCGAACTTAATCCTCGTTAGGTCATTAGGAAGCGGATTGTGGAAACTCCCAAACGACTGATGGGAGTCCAGTTGGGTTCGGAGCTTCGACTGGAGCGGGTGCCGCGATAGGCTACGTGTCGGGTTCTCGACGTATCTCGTTAGGGCCGTGTCACGGAGTAGAAAGCGGCCTCGTTGAATGGCGGATCTCTTCTAGGTACCTTGGGCTTGACGTGAAAGCGAAAAAGCAAGAAGAGAAGGTTCTAGCATGTCTTGAATCGACCACGATGAAGCAGTGGGAGCCCTCCCCATCAATCGGATGCTGTCTTGATACGCCAGAATCGTGTGCCCACCGTCAAAGCTATCGGTAACGCAGCGCAGCAAGGGCTTCGGGGGGATACTGAGGTAACCCTCGGGGAAATCACCGGGCAGGGGGCGAGACGAATCAAGGACCTACGTTACCGCCTAGTACAAGGTCCCTCAGAGCCTCACTTCCGAGGGAAACAGAACCGAGAAAAACCATCTCGAGATCATATGAGCATGGTGCAGTTGAATGGCACCAATTTGAACCACTGAAGCCGAAACCGGTGCGAAGGCAAACGCCTCTGGATCTCTTTTATCGTCGAATAAGATCACTAGTAGACCTGCGTAAGGCTAGGTGCAGATATCACAAGAACTATTGAAGGGAATGCCCCTGTCTCCACATTTTGGGCATTGCTAATTGGAATGTTGCGGTTGTGAGCGGGATCTAATCGCCTCAGAGGACACTACGACCCTTGTGCTAAGTTCAAGCTCGCCTCGACAATCTCCATGGGTATTGGAAGTCAACGGACAGTACCTTATCTTGAAGATGCCTTCAAACGCAAGCGAGCGGTCAATGACCCGAGGTCAGGGGGTCAGGCGGGACAGAGCTAGACAGATGTAGCAAGGAGAGAAAGAGAAGAGATTGTTGGGATGGGCGGGAGGGGAAAGCAGATTTGTACCAATACATCGCACGCCCCATACTCATACCGAGTACGCACGAGCACCACACCATCCACCCCCAATTACAGCCGGACATGTTTACTTTGGGACACCGAGGAGGCACTGTTTCCGCGAATTCAAGACACTCCATTCGGGTCGTCAACCGCTTCTTTGGAACAAGGCGGGGAGAGCCGAAGAATAGATCAATGTTTAACCCAAAGCCCGATCTCTTGGATAGCGAGATACATTGGCGAGACAAGCATTTTATTCCCGTGTCTCGCTCGTCTCGGAAAAGGACCTAATCACGGCGCCCGCCCTGTAATGACTCATTCCCGTCCCGAAGGAACAGTGAACAATTGACCCGGGATGGTTCTTCTGGTTGAGACATGGGAGCTGCCGGTCCTAACATCCCTACCAGCAAGCAATAGCAACGCGGCAAAGCCTACTCCTGCGCGGCGACAGCTTGAGCGATTGGCCTCTGGTAATGGTGTTTACCATACATTTTGTACAGTTACCAAGAAAAAACCAAGCGCGTCTCGTCGTGTGTTAATGTTTATTCTAAAAATTAGCCACACACGCGTGTCCGTCACGTTCTGGCCCGCAATATTACAAACTGGTCAACTTCGCACAAATCGAGCGAGCCAAGGAATGATGGGTTGAACTCACCCAAGCGGTTTTTTCTCGAAGAGACACGTTGAAACAAGCCACAACCTGCAGGCAGAATGGGCAAGAGATGAGATGATCTTTCCTCTCTCCGGGCAACTCCACCTACGCCCACCGCCCCGAATTTCTCTTCGCTTCGTCTCGGTGACAGCTTTTGTGGGAATGCTGAGAGGATGCAAGAAACGAACTACGCCATCGGTCATTGCGGATATTTCAGAATCTTTGATAAAATCATACGAGAATAGTAGGCTACATCACGTATTCGAGACGAGCTACAAAGCTTCCATGCCCAAATGAGTTTAGAGAGAGGCGGGAAGCCAGCCAGCCGCTGCATGAAGCCGAAAAAGATCGAAGGATTCGCAGATTTGCCGTTCCTATCCTCCCGCCCGCTCTACTCCCCCTGTGATGTTCCTTCGAGGTAAAAGCCTAGGCTTTGACTCTGCCTCACAGCTATCTCAACTATTCCCCAATTCCCCCTTAAACGTACATAAATTCGCCTCATTATTTCCGATGGAGAAATCTAGACCCATGCGCCTCATTCTTGGTATAAAATACATTCAACGTTATGACTTGGTAGTGTGCTACCTGTGTACTGCTTGTTGACATTGACCAAAACCAATGGCAGACTTAGCTGCCCATGGCAAGTGGCTTGATCTTCGAGATCTTATTTCCCATCGCGTCATTTTATTAAATCCACTTTAAAAATTTTCCCCAGAGCTTCTTCGAACAAACCCCGACTCCATGCCAGTTCGGAATCCGCAATAGAATAGCAGCTGCATCGCCCTCTCCATGAGACACCTAATAAAACAAACAAGACATTGGCGTGCTGATACACAATTGGCAACCTGCGCTTTTGTCGGAGCTGGGAAAGGTGGGAGAAAGGAAGAGAAGAGGATATAACGCGAAGTACCTCTGTATGTAATATACATACAGTAATACATCTGCACCTAGCACTTCGTAGCCAGTAGGAAAGAGTCTGCGTCGGATGTTCGCACTCTCCAACATTAGACATTAGACAAGGTATATCGTCCTCAGTTTCCTAATTGATCAATTGATGTCTCAATTGGCTTGTGGTCCTTTCTAATAATATTACGCAGATCAAGTTAGGTGCATCGGGTCGACAAGGGAGCCCTAGCTCACCAGGGCGGCAAAGGCCTGTCCATGTTCCGGGGCGGCATTCCGGTCATTTCTGGTGCAGAGTCCGGTCGTTCAACGGACTCCTCGGTGTTTTCTTTTTCGTTTTTTTTCCTCTTCCCGTTCTTGTCCCGTCCTTTGCTTTCTTCCTCTCCTTCTTTCTTTCTTTCTTTTATTTTTTTATTTTTTATTTTTTATTTTATTTTTTATTTTTTGGCCCTCACTTTTCTTTTCTTCTCCTTTTGCGGGGCTTTGACGGGAGTTAGTACTTAAACTCCGGGTCCTCGCCGCCGCCTTTCTGATTGGAGCTTGCGCCCTGATGATCACGACTGCGCCCACTATAACCACAATTGTCTGGCGGGGTCCCCACAATGACTGTAATACCTCAACTGCTACCGTAGCCCCTGTTCATGGTCCCAAAATTTCCGTTACAGCTCAGATATCCTTCGGAACAAGCAAAGCAGTTGTGATCTAGTCTGTAGTCGTAAATCTATTTGTTTTTTTATTTTTTATTTTTTTATTTATTTTTTTTACGCCATTTGCCTAGCTCCTTGATAATCGGTAATGGCAAGTGATCAACGGCAACGAGGGTATCAATTGAGCAGTTGCCAAAGGCATCAGTTCTACAGACGATGATGTACTCTGAGATAGGAGTTAGAAGGGTGGGGTGGACTTAGCAAAGTGGGAGGTGCTACCCAACCGACCCTAGTCAACGAGAATTGGCCTCGAGACCACATTTCGTTGACGAGAATCGGCCTCTCTGTCTGCCTGTCATCGATGAGAATAGCATACGTGTTACAGTCAGTCGAGTCTCGGCCACTTCTGAAAAAGATGACTGGGCCGTAATTATTCACCAATGCCCTGCCACCTTATCTTGGGAAATGAGGTTGGGGAGAAATCCTGGGGCTTGTACGATGCAGCTTCTGAAGTGGCCAAATTTGACAGCCGGCAGGGACGAACCTTGACAGAGGGGATCTCGATCTGGGAGAATGGGTAATTGCGCCAGCACCATGACCCCAGGCAGGATTCGGGATTAACAGAACATTGAAATCTCAGAAATTAGTTCATTAATTGGTTATATCTTTGGTTTGTGTCCCTGAACCCCACGATCTCTACAATTGTATGTGTACGTTTTATTTTTATTTTTATTTTTATTTTTATTTTTATTTTTTTTATTTTTCTTTTTTCTTTCCCCTTCTCCTTGTCCTCGGCTGCTCAGCCCCATGCTTACTTATCCGCCAACCAGGGACGTATTCCATTCACCAATTCGTCGGTCCTGTCTTCCGCCACATATGTGGCGCAGGCCTCCTCAAAACATTTCTCTAGATCGACAATATCCTCAGCGTCGGGGCTCTCCTCTTCCCTATTCTTGAAATATAGACTGTATATAATTCGGTCTTCGGCTCTCGCCTCCAGAAACATGCTCATTCCGAAAGCCACCTCCTCCGGGTCTTCTGTGTTGGCTGCCGATGCAGCGACGCCCTCGTCAACTTGCGCGGAGGCTCCACTACGAAAGAGAAAATCTTGTCAGGTCATGGGATAATCGAGAGCGTGTCTTGTCGAAGAACAGTTCGGTTGCAGACTTACAAGGACGATGATCCCCTTGTGGTATCCACGGACCAAGAATCCGAGGGATTTCTCTCAGAGCACGATGTGCCTGGAGTATTTGGGGTTCTCTTCTCAGCGGCTTGGTCATGCATTATGGAGACGGAAGGATATTTGCTGATGTCGGAGAATTCGTCGGCTGAACAGACAGTTTATGGTTTATAGTCTTTAAGAGAGACAGAAAGAGAGAAAGAGAAAGATGGCGATGACGATAAACTATAGTTTTTATATCCATTTCTCTTTTCCCCCAGGCCCAAAGCTCGTAGAGAGCTAGCGTCCACGATAAGCCATCGAACGTAGTGTTCCAAGGACCCTTGAATATAGCTACTCGCTCAAGGGCCACGCCAATGCAGATCCTTCGGTTTGCCGGGCGGGCCGTATGGTTAGCTTCCTCTCTTTACAAGAGAGTACCACCAATCGAGGAGTATTGGCGTGCAGTAGATGCAGTCGCAGGGGGCCCGCCGGGGTGGGAGGCAGGGCTTGAAGCAAGGTTGAAGGGCCTACAAGGTGGAGCGGCCTCGGGGAACATTTCCGAAGAAACCCACTCACCGTTTCTCGTCGTGCTCGAGGCTACGCAAGTCGAAGAACCACCTGGTCTTTGACTGGCCAATTTTCCATGTGCCAATCGTCGAGTCCTCCAAAGGATGTCTTGACAGTGGCACTTCCCACTTACCACACGGGTTGTAACTGTCTGTGGGTCGGCTGGCCCCTTCGGCCCAGGATCAGGGTATGACAGTAACCCATGACAGGACCTGAAAAGGGAAGAGGGGTGAGATTGAGACGCTTAGTCCCCGCCCCGCACGCCCTCTTGCACGGCCTGGGAAGTCATTGCCATTGGCGCTGGTGGGCAACTGATCTGGAGGAAAGCTTGAAACTAAGCTCCCAAGGCTGTTCGAGCATGGCTCCGGGAAAGCCCTTCGTAAATGTAGAAAGAGGATTGCATCGCGGGGTCAGGTTGACGGGGGGTGCATCATCACTTCTACTGCATCAAACCAAATAGAGCTAGAAAAGAGTCAAAATACTAGAAGCGATTATCCCTTATTCCATTTCCAGATCTGACAAGGGTCTTAATCTGAGGGGAAGAAGGGGTGTGGCTCTCTAGGGCGGGGCAGAAAAGTCGGTCTGGCACTCACCTTGCCCATTGAATGGTGTATCGTGAACATATCAAGCTGGCAGCAGATGACTCTCTTCTATCGGAGGAAACTACTGATCAATAAGGGTAAGGATATGCATAGCAATGTAAGCATTATATTGTAAGAGAGCAAAGTGGAGTGTGGGTTAAAGCTCTAGACTCCTGCTTCGCAAAGTGTGAAAACGGAAAAAAGAAAAACAAAAAAAATTTAAAAGAAAGAGAACCAATAAAATAATTGACACTACAAAAAAGAAGAAAAAGCAAAGAGCATTGTTAGGTACGAACATATCATTGCTTTTTCCAGTAATTAATTCAATGCCAGCTGCGCTCCCCAACCAAAGGCCCAGGGTTGTGTAGCAGCGGATAGAGGATTCCTCCGAAAAGACCGGACTCGCAGCGTCGATGACAGGTATCCTTCCATTTCGGAGAGGTCTGAGAGAGGATCGTGATATGATGTTGCACACCGGGTTGAAAGTATTTTCCTGCTCCGTCATTGATCAGCCATGAAAACAGCGAAGGCGCACGGCCCATATCGTCCTGCGGCAGGCCAACCGTGGTACATCAGGTTGCCTGCAGCACCTGGTCGCGAATGCAGTGGACTCCGCCGGGCGATTGGAGCCTCCTGAAGTAGAACATTAAAGTTTGCAAAATCAGGCGGCTCTCAATAGTACAATTTGATAATTTCTCGGTCTGATCCGCTAGATTGATGTTTTGTGGGTGCTGAGGTTGGGTTCGGGCTCACAACTCTCAAGCCACGTAGGCACTGGGTCGGTGATTGAAAACAAGTACGCCGTGTTGCGATTTTGGAGGCAGTTTCGACTACCGTATGGAGTGAACCAGAGGTCCAATTGGTTGCAATATGGCCTTGCCCTGAAGTGACTTAGAGCCAATTGGCTAACTCTTCAGGCTCTGTGATGTGCTCGACTGAGGCCGTCGGGCAATTGGTGGCCTTGGGGGTTGGAGTTTTGAATTTTCCTTTTCCCGTCGAAGTTCCATGCCAGTTGATGGTGGGCAGCCCAGACCATATTTTGTTGTTGCTTTCGTTGTTTTGTTGTTGTTGTTGTTGTTCTAACCGATTATCAAGTCCGCCTCGTTTTCAAAAGTCTGCTTGAGCTCGCGAACCATCATGCATGTCCCCCATCGGCTCGCCTCCTTCTTGTTTTTCATCTTCTTTCCTCTCCCGGCCAGCGCTGTGCTATCATGAACCATTCAACCTTAATGGAGTTTTCCGTCTCCGGCTCCCGATTTCATCCAATGTGGACCGGGACGGTGGAAGCTTTCCAGTCCAGCCTATATTAAATGGATAAATATACGGCGCTGTCTTTATCCGGGGCCTGTCCCTCCCACGGAAAGAGAAATCTAGGGAGCTAATATAGAGGCATAGTTCTCGCTTGACGGTTGTAATCAACTTTTCCTCTCCGGGACCCTCAGCATCCTCCCTCGATCCGAATTATCCTCCCTCTCCTACCCCATTCCTCGATCGTCCTCCCCGTTTTGACCGACCGAGAACGGTTTAGTGAACGGCGGCATCCCCTTCGATATTGCTCATTAACCCAAGTCCTCGTGGACCCGAAGAAGCGTCGAATATTGCCATCCGCGTGGCTCTTGGAGATTGCTCCCCAGCGGCATGGTCCCGTATCCGCTTCCCGGGTCTTCTTCGCGGCCGCGGGTCACCTCGACGCCTTCCCCTCGTCCCCCCCTTTTCGAGTGCGGAGAAATGGAATTTCTTTACGGCTCTCCAAGAAGCCCTCTCTTGACAAGCGGGATCGAGATTGGGATTAAGGTACAGAGTGGAGACGTTCTCCATCACCGGGTCAAGTCGAAGAGAATGAATATATCCCCAAGTACTTGGCCTTCAGGCGTGACCGTCCATCTCTTCATCCGGCTACCGAGATAAAAGGAGGACCCCTCAGCCGCAGTCGAGCTTTCGCCCGCTATCACAGTCCTCCTTCCATACCTCTAACCTCACGCGTGTTTGCTTCCTTCGTCGCGTCTTCTCCCACATCGCAGGTTGTTTGATATCGTCTGTCAGGTTTTGAGACGACCCTTTCGCGTTTGATCGATATGCAATACGGACTTCTTTCGGCCCTGGCCGCCTTCGCCGGCGTCGTCAGCGGCACTCCTGTCTCGTAAGCCCCCCCCCCCCCCCCCCCCCCTTTTTTTTTGCCCGTCGTCCCAAGAAGAATCCACACAGGACAACCTGGAACGATATGCTAATCAACGGCCGTCTTCTTTCCAAGTAGTCTCCTTTCTCCTCGACAAGCCGCCGGCCTCAACGCCGCCATGGTCGCCGCAGGCAAAGAATACTTCGGAACCTGCCTGACAGTCCGCAACGACCAGTCCGAGTCCAGCATCATCGCCAACAAGGACGAGTTCGGCTCCATCACCCCCGAGAACGCCATGAAATGGGATGCTGTCCAGCCTAATAGAGGACAGTTTAGTTTTGGTGCCGCGGATCAACATGTCAACTGGGCGGTCCAGAACGGAAAACAGATCCGTTGCCATACTCTCGTGTGGTATTCGCAGCTTCCTGGATGGGTTAGCGGTATCAACAACAACGCTACCCTCTACGAGGTGATGCAGAACCACATTTCGACCGTCATGGGTCGATACAAGGGGAAGTGCACGCACTGGGACGTCGTCAACGAAGGTAAGCATCAGTTCCAGTCAATCGTAGAGTCAGTTAGGGTTGGAGATGGGCTGGGTAGGAGCCCCGTCGCTAATGTCTGCTCGGCTCAGCTCTCAACGAAGACGGGACATACCGAGATAACGTCTTCCTGAGAGTCATGGGAGAAAGCTACCTCCCCATCTCGTTCAGGCTTGCCGCCGAGGCAGATCCCGCGGCGAAGCTCTACTACAACGATTACAATCTTGCCTACGGCGATGCCAAGGCGTGAGTCGATCCACCCTCACACATTCAATACAATTGTAATTGCCCAATTGGTTAGAGAATGACTAACAATCTACATTCTCGGCACAGGGAAGGCGCCGTCCGCATCGTTAAACTCGTCCAGTCGTGGGGCTACCGCATCGACGGCGTCGGCCTTCAAGGCCACATGGTCACTGAATCGACACCGACCCAGGAGACGCCTTGCCCCTCACAGGAGAAGCTCGCGACCGCCCTCCGCATGTTCACCGATCTCGGCGTCGACGTCGCATACACCGAAGTTGATATCCGCATGAACACTCCCTCGAATGCCCAGAAGCTCCAGGTGCATGCTGAGGCTTTTGGTCGCATGATGGGTGCCTGTATGGAAGTTGAACGTAGGTCTTTTGCCCCGCGCTGTTCTAGATTCTCCACTTCCTCGTACTAATAACTCCTTTGGTTAGGCTGCGTTGGGTTTACGGTTTGGGTGTGTAATCCTGGTGCCAGATTCCCGGAGTACATGTTGCTGCGCCGCAGGGGACCGGCCAATAGGCCCAATACTAATGTGCTGTTTGCTGCAGGGCGTTTCCGATCGATACAGCTGGGTTCCGCAAACCTTTTCTGGGTACATTGCTTTTTCTCTTCTTCCCCTTCCTGTTCTCCCCGTTACCTTCAGGATGTTGCGACTCTAACGGGTATTTTTTCTTAGTGAGGGAGATGCTCTCCTCTGGAACAACAACTTCCAGAAAAAGCCCGCTTACCAAGCTACCCTCGATGCCATCGTGAACTACAAACCCCCGGAGAAGCCTGCCGAACCTGAGACCCCGGCCGAGCCTGAGACCCCGGTCGAGGGAGGGGAAACGCCTAGCAGCCCTGCTGCCCCCGCCGAGCCGACCGCTGCCACTCCTTAAATTGTCCGCCGACACGGAGACGAAGCCTGTCGAAGTACTTCGTATATGGGGCTGAAATGGCCCAGGTCACGAGGGGAAGATTGGCTGCGGGATGAGAGGAGTTGGGGACCCTGACGGGGCCCTTCCCGATACATATAACTTGGACGTGCGCAATTATTTCATTCCTTCGTAATAGTTGGGGATACTGAATAAAGGAAAAAGCCGAGGTGTCTAAGTCCACCCCTTCCCGAAACTCCTTGGTCGAACTGATGATCATCGAACCAGAAATTCCCAGAATACGTTGACCCTTGTCCACTCGTCCCTCATCCACAGCTGCTTATGTGATCAGGTTCTCCTGAGCCAACGAAGCAATCCCAAGTGTGTGCCGTGATTATCCCGCCCCAGCTACAGTACATCCCGACTCTCGGTTTCATTGGAAGATCGACAAGGGTGGACTGGGATGCTGCGTGTCGCTAACAGCTACCGGCTGCTTCCCCACCCCACGCGTACACCCCACAGCAGCTTCACACCTTCCCAGCTTCCCTCGTGTATTTTCTACCCCGCGATGCCCACAGAGCCCGTCTGGCCACTCCGATCTGTGCCATTTTTGTCGTCTCACCAGAGTGCTTGAGGAACGAGTTCTGAATCCAACACCATGGCAGCGTCTCGCTGGTCCTCCACCTCGAACCTCGAACCTACACCCCTGCACGAGCTAACGTAGTATCGCAAAAAATGATCCTTGGTTCAATTCGACTCCTCCCCTGGTCCACCAGGGTCTTTAAGCTTAGTCGAAGTCATTTTCGAAGCTAGTGCTGCCCAAGTCCCCACTCGAACCAGTGCTTGTACTTCGTACTATAGATGTCTCGCATGAGACGTCGTCTCCATATTACATATAGTACTTTGTGTCAACAAACCGATCGATTACTTCTCATTGGCAGGGGTCGTGCTATAGAGTTGCCATTGAACGTGCGCCTCTTCTTCTCTCCTTCTCTTCTCCAACTTCCCCTCGGGTTGGGCATGGTGCTTCGCATTGAGGTAGCTGGCCTGGAGACCGTGTATGGAAACTGTGCTGGCTCAGGGGGCTGATTTTGGGCTTTGCATGGGATTTGCTGCCCCAGATACGTCATGCAGAAGAATTATGGGAGAAGAGCAAGGTAAGTTGGCGATTATTTGACGCACGTACGGAGCTGGAGACAAGACAGACGCGTTCGCTCCAGGAAGCGTCGTCGCAACGCCTTCGTGTGCCTCGCTTTCCGCCCACTGACTACGTTTAGGGGATTGACGAACCGTCAAGCGATTGGAAGGCAGTGGACTGGAGGTCAGTAAAGCCCAGTCGCAGATTAGCGCACCGGTCATCCGCACGCACATCTCCTTGACATATCACAAGACAATTGATTGCCGCAGCTCCTATCCTGCTCCCCTGGATCCGCCTTGCTCCTGTCCCTCCTCTCCCCCTTTTTGTCCTCCCAGCGACGCCACAGTATTATGTACATTTCTCTACTCAGCCGGTTCGCTTGATTGATATTTGTTGGCTTTAGAGATGAACAGTTTCGAATTCCCCCTCTCCCCCTTTTTGTTCCTTCTCCCATCTCCATCTGCGCTCATAGGGGTGCGTCAATACGACGAAGGCCAATTCACGTCATTTAAGGTCCAACATAAATAGAAAAAGGATGAGGTAGAACACGACAATGTAACATGAGTGTACGATTCCTCAGCGTTCGAAGTATGCCCATGAGACCCTCCTTTCCTCTGTCAAAGCAGACCGCATTAATCCACAGCCTTGCGATTCCAGGCTCGAACGAGGCCGTTCTCCAATGAAGCGACTGGTTATGTCGAAGCTCCCATGCCGCGTCGAGACAGCGAGGTTAACATGGAGCTAGGAGCAGCCGCTCAAGAGCTGGAACTGAGCAAGCAATATACACTCAAGCAAAACCGAAACACCTTTTCACCTTAGTCTCCTTGTGCCACTATCTAGGTTTGTCCATTGTTCGCAATACCTCACCTAGCTTTCCTCGGTAGCCCCCATCAATGGCCCATCAAAGACTTCTGGTTTTGGAAGTCACGATCCTCAGCCTGCAAATGGTGAATAGCCAAACTCGTGATTCATGAGAACATCCACCCCAAGAGGAAAACATCTCGCTCCTTCCCTCCCCTGAGATATTCTGCTGAATCACTCTCATAGCTCCAGATCAGTAAAATATTCACTGCCTTGCTCCAGTTCAAAAGGAGTGATCGAGGGCTCATTGGCAAACTATAAATACCCCCAATTCTTCGCGGACCTCATTGAGAATTCTTTTTTTCCTCCTCAACACATCTCCTAACCTTCGCGGTCATAGACATTTCTCTTGACCTGTCCTTTTTCTCAATCCAAATCACATCCATTTATCAATTCCATTGTCTTTTCCCTTCCTAGTAATGAAGGTAAGTTGGCCATTTCTTTTGTCTACAATCTATTCCCCCTTTCCAGACATGTCTGTTTCCCCTACGCACCATGCACCATCTCCGACCTGCTGGCTTTGGGTGCTTTTTCAATTGCTCAGGTGGGAACTCCGAACAGTTTTTGCCTCTCCCTTCCTGTGGCCTCAGGGGTAGGGCAAGAAGTGTTTGGACTTCCCTCGTGAGCAATGGGGAAGACACTTGAAGCCGAGCACATCATTTTTCCTTCACCCCTTCCCTGAGTTTGGTGCCCTGAGCCATGATAATGTCTCATCCAACCTCACACTTCCATGACCATACTGCCTTGACTGTCCTGTATCCTCATTGCCCTCGATCTCCCCTACCTACAAGTAGACTTCCTCAGTCTGTGATGCAGCCCCCTGCCCTTGATTTATTTCAACCATCCATCGATCCCCTTTTGTTTATCCCGAACGCAGACATCTAACCACCATTTGATGCCTCGTCCTGCAGCTCCTTATCCCCATTTCGGCTCTTGCCGCCCTCTCTGGTATTGTCCAAGCTCACTGTACCGGCTGTCCCCCCGAACTCCCCCATCCCACTGTCACAGACGACAGCCTCAAGAGTGAGGGCAAGGGCAATCAAAACGCTGGACCCTATCAGCCTGTCGAAGACGACGACAGCATTAAATCGGAAGGCAAGGAGCACCAGGATGCCGGTCCCTACCAACCTGTTGCAGACGACGATGCCGAGACTAGCCATGACGAAGACCATTACCTCCTGATCCGTTCCGATCGTTTCCAGCCCTGGGTCGACGGCGTTTTCGCCGCTTGTGCCGAGCACCAACGAAGCGCTCTCACGTGTAGCTATCGCGATATTAGTCGGAACAAGGATATTTTGGACTGTGCCTGTGCGCTCGATTTTGAGTGCACCAACGACGGTTCCGATTCTCGCGTTGTGCGCAAGGCCAATCCGCGTATCAAGGAAGACTTCCTCGACTGCATGAGCCTGTGTTCGTGCTCCAGCGGTAAGGATATCGGCAAGTCTGAAGCCCATCGTCCCCGTCAAATCGTTCCCGAGCCGATCCCCTTCCCCCGCCCCGCCCCCCCCGCACACGATGGTCCTCATGGCCACCATACGCGTGTGCCCTTCCCCAACATCAGCGGTAGCCCCATGGGTCATGGACCCGTCAACTCTGGCACCTCCGACTGTCCAGACGAGATGACCCAGCGGTACTCGGTTCCCCGACCGACTCCCATCCCCGAATCGACCGTCATGCTTTCGGTAACTACTGAGGACGAGACCGCCTCGGCCACCTCTAGCTCGCCCACTGAGGACTCCTACCCCGACCTGCCCACGGAGATCGGCCACGACTGGCCCACATCGGCCTTCGATCCTGTCCCCATCTCTCTCCGAACTCGTCTCCCCTTTGGCCCCGGAGCTGACAAGGACGTCCCAATCCCTTCCGAGGGCCCTGCGAAGGCCACTGCACGTGGCCATATTCACAAGCCCTGTGGTCATACTACGATCTACACGACCGTTCTCCGCACGGTGTCCAGCAACCATCCCAACGGCAAGGCTTCTGACTCCTCGACCACCTTCACCCCTCATCCCACTCGTCACTCCTTCACCACCATCTACTCGAAGGACAAGCCCGACCCTAAGCCTACCCCCGCCGCCCCCAAGCCCGCCATCAACCCTTGGGCCAAGGTCACCTGCCTCGCCGAAACCGAGGGAGTTTGCGAGGACGAATTCGCCTGCCTCGCCGACGGTACCGGCCTTGTCCTCAGGGATGATTCCTGGATTCACAACTCCGCGACCGGCCTGGAGGTCGCGACTCGGTATTGCAAGCTCGCTTGTTTCTGTGACAACGAACCTAACCAGCCCATCATTTACACCAGCATGGTTGGCGATGTTACGCTTACCGCCTCGCCGGAGTCTGAGAGTGGAAGGCCTTTTTTTTCTGGCAGGATCCCTTTCAGTGGTGACCACCACCACTAGGCTTGTTTGAGGGGCATTTGCCCTCTAGGATCGGCGCAGGGGGGAAGGGCGTAAAATTCACAAAATCATTGAAAAAAAAAATTGGAAAATTACAAAATCTGCAAGAAAAAAAAAAGGAGATGGCATGGAAAAAGAATCTGAGAGGAGGACAATGGTACTGGGGGGATACGTTTGAAAATTCTGGCGGACAGGACAGAACATGGGCACGGTAATGAGTTACGAATGAATGAAAGTCCCTTTCCCCCTTAATTCTTGTAGCTGTTCCTCATCTTCGTACACCAGTAGATGTTCCCATCGAGCCTCGCGTCTTTATTGGCCCAGGATTAGCGAGTGGATGATGATGATGATGATGCGTTTTGTTTTCCCTCGTCGATTTATCATCTCGACTGCTTTGGTTTTCTTCCTTTGCCAACTTCATATGTCCAACTCGGCATTCAACCTCAAATCCCTCGAACTCGCGCCCACATACACAGTCTTTTTAGTATCAGATATCACCCAGTTCTCTACCTCTTCGTCCCAAGTCGCGAGATCTCGATATGCCAAATCAAACGCCACGGTCTTCGACTCCCCTGGCTCCAGCTCCACGTCCTCGAATCCTCGAAGGACGCGTACAGGACCATCACGATCTCCGTGGGATAGATACTAATGATAACTCGTCAGCCATAAAAATCCGAACAATCCCTACCAAAGGGCAAGAAGAGAGGAAAAAGAAAAAAAGGCTTACCAGCTGCACGATCTCGGTACCGGCAACCTCGCCAGTATTCTCCACCGTAACCGAAACACGATAAACAACCTCATACAGTCCGGGATTCCCCCCAGGCGCACCCCCAGCAGGATGAACCCTCTGAGCCTCGCCGCTCCTACTCGATTCGGCAATCTCGATATCTTCGGGAGGCTTGCCCCCCTCCTTGACCCACGAATACACGTACCTCGGAATCGCGTCAAAGCCCTTAGGCGCTTCCGCGTCTTCCCGCGATCCAATCTCCCCAAAGGTGGGTGCTTCTTCCGTCTCGCCCTCGGCGGCTTCGTAGGATGAAGTCTCGGCGACGAACTCGACTTGGAGATCGGAATACTCAAAGGTCGTGTAGCTAAGCCCGAAGCCGAATTCGTAACTCGGTTCGATGTCCTCCTTGTCGAAATGTCGGTAGTCGATAAAAAGGCCCGCGTTGAGATCCTGCGAGGGGGTCGGCGTCTCGGCTGCGTACAAGAGGGAAACACCCCAGTCCTCGGCACTCTTACCCCAGGTAAAGGGAGATCTTCCCTGCGGGTTGACATCGCCGTAGAGAACATCCACGAGACCATTTCCGGACTCTTGACCGGGAAGACCAGCCCAGAGGATCGCGGTGATGTTGGGATGCTGCTTGTACTCCTCGATGAGTACAGGCCCAACGGTGTGCAGAACGACCACGGTATTGGGATTAACGGAGGCCACGGCTTCAATAAGGGCGTCGCCCCCTTTCCAGAGAGTGAGGTTGTTCCTGTCTCCTTCGTTGTCTTCGATAAAGACATAGTTCTCACCCGCATTGGCATTGGCAAAGACGAGAGCGACGTCCACATCTGTGGCAGCTTCAATGGCTGCATCCAAGTCCCAATTCGACTCGACATTACTAAACGCAGTGCCGTCCGCTTCGGCTCTCAACAGTAAAGCCGTGGCAGGAGCCACGAGATACGGAAATTCCGTCGTCCCCGAGCCCCATCCCATCGCGAGCGTACCATTGTTGCAAGCCCGGTCCGCGCAAGAGTTCGCTCCGTCGGGGTTATCCTGTGCATCTTCTCCAATGACGGCTATGCTCTTAGGCTTCTTCAGAGGCAGGGCCCCCTCATTCTTGAGCACGACGATGGACTTGGCGCCAATCTCCCTAATCAAATCAGCATGGTCGGCAGCCACATCAACGTGCTCGTTGACAATGGCCCAGGTTTTGTTGGATGCGAAGTAGAGAGGCCCTTCGGTCTCGGTCGTCCACGCATGGAAGTTGACCTCTGGGCGCTCCTCCTTGTCGCCGACATGGACCTTGTAGAAAGCGGCCATAATGCGGACGACCATGTCGTCAAGCCGCCATTGGGGCACCAGACCGGCGAGGACGGCTTCTGTGAGGGCACCACCCCAGAGCGAGTTGTAGCCTGCAGAGTCGCGGCCGAACCGGTCGCCGGGCATGGTCATGTCGAGGCCATTGAGGGCAGATTCGAGAGTCGCGTGCTGAGCACCCCAATCCGACATGACTGCGCGGATTAATCAGCACTGAATCGAGAGATGGCTTCTGAATCCCCGAGTGTTTTGTACATACCGAAACCTTGGAAGTTCAGTTCGTTCTTTAGCAAGTAGTTTGTGTACGCATTCTCGCAAGCGTACGTGCCGTTGATGCGGTTGTATGAGCACATCACAGAGCCCACACCAGCTCTAACAGCATCCGCAAACGGCCTGAACAAAGTGTGTCAGATGACCCCATCATCTCATCATCTGGACAAGGCCAAAAACGCTCCCAACTCACCAGAGATAGACTTCATGCATCACTCGATCATTGAGCTCGCTCGATACCGACCCTCGATAATGCTCTTGCTCGTTCAATATGTAGTGCTTTACGCAAGCAATCACGCCCTCGCTCTGAATGCCTTCCACGGTTGACGCAGTCGCCGCCCCCGCTAGATACGGATCCGAACCGAAGCCTTCCCAATTGCGACCACCCTCGGGAAACAAACCGAGGGGGCCGACCGACGGACCGAGCTGGACATCAATACCCTTACCATAGAATTCGGCGCCCATCGCAGCGCCACGGGCTCGGATGAGCGAGCGGCTCCAGGTTGCGGCGGCATTCACACCGGCAGGGAAGGCAGAGATTTTGTCGGCTGCAAGAGAAAAAAGCACAACCCTATTAGCAAATCTGCCCCAATTCCTTTTAACCTCTATTGAATATCCTAGGAAAGTGAATGCCCCCTACCATATCGAACACCAAGAGGGCCGTCTTGGAGACAGAATCCCCGGAATCCCAGCCTCGGAACGGATCCCGTCACGCCAACACATCGATCAGCTTGCCATCCAGTACCCGTCGTCAGGTTCACCTTTTCAGCGAGGGTCAATTGGGAAACAAACTCCCGCGCCTTTTCGTACGCGTCGTCCCAGCCGTCCGGTCCGCCTGAACCCCAAGTTGAGGGGTAGAATCGCTCGGGAGCATCGAGGGCATGCGCCGGAAAGACGACCGCCAACGCGACGAGAAGCAGTGTTCGCAACATCGCCTTCAAGGGGTTTTCTCGCTACCAATTCGACGTTATTGAGAGTGGAATTGGCAGGAGAGAGGAACTGGTAGAGCAATTGGGCTCTTGACTCCTGCCGAATCTGAGGGGGCCCATCTCTCGCAGAACTCCTCCTTTCGAAGCTGTGAAAAGAGGGGAGCGGCCCGCCCATATTACCCTCCATATTGCTTGGAAACGCGGGTGCACCGCGAGCTTTCGGCATCGGACGTGTAACCTAGAGAGTAGAGGCTAACTCTCGCCTTCCCGTCTTCACTATTCGAAGTCTCGTCAATGGCGGCGCGTTCCTGAAACAAAAACTAATATGCTTGGCCCTCGATCCGGGCCAATGACCCTGTCCGAATTGATGTGTCGACGGGGAAACATGCCGACTGAAATCCCGCTCTGGCTACCGAGAGGATCCGCTTTCAATTACCTAATTGATGAAATTGCTCAATTCCTCCGAAAGAAGAGGGACCGGGGAGTCTGGCCCGACCGCCCAGACTTTAGGCTTTAGTGATGTACATTGGTCCCTCTTGAGCCGAGAGCCTGATCCAGGGCAGCTTCTCGAAATCCAAAACCGGGACTCGAAAGGACGCCCAAGTTGTCATTGCAATCTGACAGCCATATCCGGCCCTATCACTCTTGAGCCTTGGTTATTGATATAATAAGCGCAGCTCACGCACTGCTCTGTCGAGTCAGTCCTGTCTTTCTGGGATAGAAATCAATCCCGACAAAACTAACATGACGAAGCAGAAGTCGTTTACCTGGGTACGAACAATGACGGGTCATTCATTCCAGCGAATCGTTCCATCAAATCGTTCGAATCAAGTCGCTCCAACCAATCATTCAATCACGATACTGACAATGCGAGCCGGTGTTGTTCGCCAATCAGAGCCTCTGATCCAACAGGTATGAGATGAAAGAGGAAAAAAACCCCTAGACGATGAATTTTGGTGGAGATCCCGAGGTGTATGAAAGCTAATCTAAATCAAAGTCTAGACACGAGTGCATTCCGTAGGCAGACTTGTTGGTTGTGCCCGGATAGACGAGCGGCCGTATGGATAGATAGACAATGGTACCTGTCGAGTGTCGACACATCGTAGTAGTTTGAATTTTGTCCAGGTCGCCCTTCCTCCAGCAGAGTGTTCCGCAGCTGGTCCGTTGTAGATACGACGCCTGGACGGGGACTATCAGGCAGGGTAACCATGAGGCGATCAATGAGCCCCGTGATGAGATCGGCCACAACATTTTCGGTATGGGTTCGCATGGGAACGTCGTCGACATCCAACCCAGGGACAGCCAATAACAGTCACGCCCTCATAGCCACCAGCCACAAGAACAAGAACAATCACAGTTACACACAATTTACAATCAGCAAGAACTCTCACGATGGAACAGTCCCCTGAACCATATCCAGTCATTAACTCAATGATAGTAGAGATTGGAGTAGTCCACAGTTCACCCCAGCTCTCTCAGACTAGGGCTGAGGAACCTGTAGTACCAATCACTACAACATTCATTCAAGAGGAAATCACAGTAACCCTCAGTCCGTATCCACAGGGCAGCCTCGATAGCCTTCTTTCCTATGACCCATCTACTCTTGGCCTGTCGCGACCCGCCGCTCCAGACGCCTATCTGTGGGCCTACAATTTCGAAATGGACTGTCGTTCCTATGTTCCGCCTAATATAGAGACGTTACCTTTCTGGACCTCTCGTGGGTAAGTTTGCACCACTACCGTTTAAACCCTGCGGTCGGGTCTTAGTAGTGACCTTATAGATCAGGAAAAGCGAGGCCTTCCTTTTCGCGAGTTCCCGTGCTTGTTTCCCTCCGCAAAGACCCTTGACGTTGACGTCGTGGTACCTCGGACCGGGGACGGGGCTTGTTCCAGATCGCACTAACGGATGAAGCTTCGGCGTGCTTCCCGAAGTTCCAACCAACGAGAGCATCCAGCCGGGCCTAATTGGGGAAATTAATTCTCTGGCTGCCCATCGAGAAGCAGGGGCACTCCACTATTAAACCACGCGACTAGGGCCAACAGTTCCGCGTAATGGCCAGGCGACCCTGTAGCAACGACTCTCCTTACCAGAGAGGCCAGACTTTACCATCCGTCAATCTTAATGGAGTTCTCCGAACCCACTCCATCTCGGTCATTGTCTGAATCCTTCTCGCGACAGGCCCTCTTGGGCAAAGACACTAGCGATTTCCACACTCGATCAACCGACGCATCCATTTTCAATCTCAATCTCCCTCAACATTCGCAACCCCCAAGCCCACGAACAACACACCAAGTCCTCACCCGCTCCATCAGATTCCCCCTCCTCCTCCTTCGCAATGATAGGAGAGTTCCTCAATCCCGCATTCCCATCTGAATTCTCCTGCAACGAGTGGGGGAAGCTCGTCGCTGGGGGATCTAGGCCTTCGACACGCGGGCGGCTTCGACGGTTGCTCGGCGTATCCAATGGTTTCGGGATCGGAGTCAGAAGTATCGTCCGCGCGTAGGAGTGGCGAAAAGAAGATTGAGGAAGGGCGGTTGAGAGTGAGCGAGGCGTCCGACGCGGATAAGGAGAGGATCCTACGGGACGCATCGCAGCCCTGGCTGGCCTATTGGCGATATGGTTGTGGGGAGTGGACGGTGGATGTGCGGTATGGGTTTCACAAGATTCCACTCTTCAACGTGCTCATCAAAGACCCTGCGAAACCCGCCGCATTGCCGCACCGCTGAGAGTAGCGATCCTAAAAGACTAGCAGATGGGATACTCAGATCATCCCATCTACAAGCTCTCGGTCCCCCTCACGACGCAGTCGACCTGAAGTGGATCCGTAACATTCATCACCGCCTCGACCATGGACTCCACAATCAACACCAAAACTTCCAAGATGCACTGCCGCCATCATGTTCCCCAAGTCCGTTCAGGTGTGTACAACCAGCGCTCCAGAGGAGGGCTGACGGCGGGAGTCTGCACACCTATAACATGATCCTCTTGGAACGGTCCTAATCCTGCCACATCTCATCATCAGGGTTCCCAAGCCCGACGACGAGCCTAGCTTCTTCGAAGATATGACTACTTAGGCGCCATCATAGTGTATGTATATACGGTATCAGTCGGCCTTGCCAATACCAATGCCAGACTTCCTAAGACCAACTCAACCTCTTCCCCGCACCCGCTCGGAGAAGACCCCTCCTCCCACAATATCAAGTCCTTTTCAAAAACTCCCTCGCCTCTGTACGCCCAATATCCTTTCTCCCGTCTTCCTCCGCTGACCCCGACATCTAGTCCCACGTCATTTATTATGCGCCTCGCCACTTAGCCACTTATCTTCGGGGACTTCATCCTGCTTTGCCAGCACCTTTCTCCGTCTTCCACGAGCTCTCCATCCCCCACCATCGTCGACCGCTCCGGGAGACGTGCCCCCCC